TGGGGTTTGGGTTTGGGTTTGGGGTTCTTGTTGGGATTGGGGCCTGGGGCTTATTTAGCTCGAGAGCGCGGGCCGGGAGGTGGTGCTTATGGGTCGCGGCTTAAGGCTTATGGGTTGTGAGTCTACACCCACGAGACACGCTGAAGATTGTGAAGATCCAATGCGGTCTGCTGTCGAGCTGCCGTGCACTGCATCATGGTGCTCCTAGAGATCTGGATGCTGGGTGTCCCTGGTGCCACTGACAGGCATTGCACTCCGCCGAAGCTTTACGGCAACAGGCCACATTTCTGGGACAAAGAGAGAACTGCACTTCCTGCTTGCAGAGTCGGGGGACTTAGTAACTAGTTGTTTTATAGACTCGTAAGTACCATAACCCAAATTAGGATTCTGTTTAGGATAGTTGTAACACTACTCCATATCTGCTTACTAAGTCCGCCGACCCTCCAAGTGGCCCAACTTTCATGATCCTCCGGCCGGGTACCCTCAGCAGGAGGGTCCATAAAACTACAGCTTTCAAGGCAGTTTCCGTCCCGGAGAGCCCAGTACCTCTTAACTAAAGAAGATACCTTAAGTTATAAAAGGGCTTCATATTATTTAAGCTATATTCCTTAAGTCAAGGGTATTGGGCTCTCTCCCTAAACCCTAAACCCTAAACCCTAAAGGTATTGAGCTCTCTGGGTTCAGTGCGGTTTCCCAAAACCCCCAACAGCATCCATTGACGAAGGCTGCATCCGAACCCAGGTTTTACACCCTGCACTGGTAGGATGCCTTTGTAAAGGGTTTAGGGTTTAGGGTTTAGGGTTTAGTGTTTAGGGTGGATGCCTTTGTAAAGGTTCTATCACTCCAACTCTCTCGCACAAGGGTTTTGGGTTCTGTTCAGGGCTCAGGGCTCAAGATATAAATGTAGGGGAAAGTGTATTTAAGTTACCATAAGAAGAACAGGCCGTATGATTTACTAATTTACTATAGACCCATGTTATGGTAGCTTGAAGCGAGCGCCCTAACGAGAGCCCAGAAAGAGTCTCTGTTTGGGTCCTCCGAGATGAAGGTTAAGATCCCGGATCCTTGGGGTGTAGAGTTTAGGGCCTAGGGTTTACTCTAAACAAATAACCAGCCTTTTTGAAAACTTATACAAGGCAATCATATTAAGGAACCTAAAACGTAATTGCTGACTTCATAAGCCCCTAAAAGTATAAACATTCAGTTCTATAGGGGATCATGTCATCCCCACAAATTGTAAAGTGTACTCACTCAGCTACAAAGAAAGAGGTACGTTTCTGAGGGTCCAGGTCAAGTCCAGGGTTTGACCTAGGGTTTAATTAGGGTTTAGGGTTTAGGGTTTAGGGGTTTAGGGTTTAGGGTTTAGGGTTTAGGGTTTAGAGTTTAGGGTTTAGGGTTTGTCCCCTTTGAGGCGGGTTGCTCGGCTCCTTCAACTTGGCTCCTGGGAAATGCGAGCACCAGCAGGGGTTCCTCCAGAGACTGCTCCCTATCACAAAGCCACACCTGTTGTTGGGTTTCTGTTTACTTGGAGGGTCGGGGGACTTAGTAAGTAGATATCAAGTACAGTTATAAGTATCCTAAAAGGGATCCTAATTGGGGTTATGGTACCTATAAGTCTGTAAAATAACTAGTTACTAAGTCCCCCGACCCTCCAAGTAGAGATTCAAAGCTGGCACGACTGAAAGGGTCGAGAAAAGGCCATGCAGACTGCTGTGGCAATCTCGCCTGCGTGGGCAGAGCAGGGCCCAAGGAAAATGGGGGTAGGGTTTAGGGTTTAGGGGCCTGCATCTTTGGATGAAAGCCGCCCATCTCACTCCTGTCCTCTCTGCTCCGGCCATTTTGATCCCCGCTGGCAGAAATCTGCTCCACCATCACCTGCCACCACAGAACCGAATAGGAGGTCACCAAATGACACTGGTGTCGTTGACATTGACAACCCAGCGAAACTTCCCACCGGCCTTGCAATCCACATTGATCTCGCCCTTCTCGAACTTGGACTGAATGTGGTCGAACTCCACTTCCAGGATCGAAAAGGTCCTGCTGTTGGACAGCAAGCTCTTCGCCTTCTCAACATTCTGCTTTCGGACAAAGGCCGACTTCGGCGGCTCTGCGGATCCGAAAGCTTGTAGCCCAACAAAGGTCATGTGCAGGTCCAGTGGGAAGCATTCGACAAGAGAGTCGCCTAAGTTTGAGGTTATTCTAGGGTTTAGGGTTTGGAACCCACGACGCTAAACCACTTACGCCATTAATTGATTAAGGGATTTAACTTACACCGTAGTGGGAATCTTGGAATGATTTAGGATATATTGCTCAATTCATTGATTTGGGAGACGTCAGGGGGGGGGGGGGCGCCACACCCAATCATAACCTACATGTTCTTAGATTCTAGGGTGTAGAGTGTGGGGCCAGTTTAGAAAACCAAACCCCGTCGACGCACAAAGCCCCCCAAACCGAAACCGAAATCCAATCCCAAAAGGCCTACACTGCTGAAGCCCTTTGCGTCCTAACTCCGCAACCCTAGACTTTAAAACTAAAGCCAATCTTAGCGTTTAGGGTTTGGGGTTTAGGGTTTAGAGGTTCAGGGTTTAGAGGCTTAGGGCTTAGGGTTAATAGACCCTAATTTCCTAAATACGGAACCCGATAGATCCTAGACTCCAACGTCTGAAAGCCTTGTGAGCACTAAACCCTAAACCCTAAACCCAAAGCCCTAAACTGTAGACGCCTCTTCTCCTGTAGGGCCTTGGGCTTAGGGTCTAGGGGTGCAGAGTCTAGGAGTCTAGAGGTTTGGAGTTCAGGATTTAGGCCGGTTTAGGGTTTAGGGTTTAGGGTTTAGGGTTTAGGATTTAGGGTTTAGGGTTTAGGGTTTAGGGTTTAGGGTTTAGGATTTAGGGTTTAGGGTTTAGGGTTTAGGATTTAGGGTTGAAGGCTGTAGGACATTGATTCAAGCAGTAGGTTGAAGGTTTAGGGTGTTGGGGTTTTCGGTAGTAAGACTATACAGGGACCGGAAGGGGATACTACCAGTGGTTATGATACAAATCCTGCATTACTCACAATAAGGAATATACTAGACTTCCCATAGTTTAGGGTCCTCAAAATAGTGCAGGATTTATATCATCAACAGTAGTAGTTGTTCAAACCGTTTCTTCACCATAAGACTCGACCCTGAACCCCAATCCTTAAAGCTGCACAGCTACAGAGTAAGCGTTGAACCAACAAAAAGACCAGAACCCTGTGGAAATCCCTGGTAGAACGCCATAGATATCTTTAACAAAAAGGAAGAAACGGAACCCTAAACTCTAAACCCTAAGCCCTTGCCCGGGCTGCCTCCGACACCAACATCTCTCCAGCCTTCGCAAAAAACACATGCGAAAGCTTAAAAGTCGCGTGTCGTCTTAGGCTTTAGGTTGTAGGGCAAGTCAGGTTTCTATGTTCTGGTTTCCTTAAAAAGAATAGGTCTGATGAGTTCAATCCTCGGAAAGTACTTAAAATGGGATTGCTAGCGGCTCAGAACGTATTTCAAGGGGTTTGATAAGGACGTTATAGCCTTCTGCAACTTGTGAGAACTCGTATTACGATCCTTCAAAAACCCGAGGAGCATGTAGAACTAGTCTTTTGGAGGACCAGTTTCTCAAAACAAGCAGCAGACACCAACTCACCAATATCCGTTAAACTAACCTTAGGGATTAGGGCTTAGGGTTTCCCTAATGTAGACGCCTTCGTAACTGGAATAGGGTCTTGGGCGCTCCTTATTAAAATTATCGCATAATGTACCACGAAACCCTATTCTAATCCTAAGGTTGAACCTATGGGGGCCCTTAACCCTGGGATCCTTATACACCTACTTTATACCCTATAGGTACCCTAAGCCCTAAACTGTATACCCTATATGTACCCTTAAGCGTCTCTAGCCCGGAAAGGCCCAGGGCTCCACGGTTTAGAGTTTAGGGTTTAGGGTTTAGGGTTTAGGGTTTAGGGTTTAGGGTTTAGGGGCCCACAGTTCCAGCCTTAGACTAATGGCTTTAGGGTTAGGGTATGCAGGCCCCGAAAAAACACCCTAAACCCTAAATCAACCCCGCACCCACTCGAGCAGGCGGAGAGAGAGCGAGAGAGAGAGAGAGAGAGAAGCTCCGTCGAACCCCTTAGGATTTAGGGTTTAGGGCTTATGCAATCAGACATGCGGACTGTCACGAAGCGAGACACTTGGCGACTAAATGGATGAATTATCTCGAGTCAGCCATCCATCACTTGCCTGTCTGCGGGCACGGCGATGGGCTGGCTACAGCGCCGCAAAATTTGGCACCACGAGGGCTTCGGGCTGAGGAGTTGAGATCCGGGAGTTCCGGGACGCAGGTGCCTCAGTGCCCTGCGCTGTGTGACAGCACTTTTGCCAGTCTGCTAGCCGCCGTCTGTCCATGTCTCCCCTCTGCTCCAGACTGCAGGCACAGAACTCTCAATCCGAAACCATGGAAACCTTGAGTGTCCACAGCAAACTCCAGAAAGTTGCAATATGGATGGAGGAGGATTGGTGATGGAATTCGCAATACTGGTGGTGTTCCTTAAGGACCAAATGACCCTTAGAAAGTAGGGGCCCCAACCCTTGTACTATCAATCCCTATATGGTATATGAACCTTAAACCCTTTTTAGGGTTCTTTTCGCCCTGAAGGTTGAGGGCATTGGGAGCAGGATGTTTCGACTCCCTGGCATCGACTGTAAACCCAAAGCTTCTAAGGTTAGAAGTACGGGCACCTAACGTGGACCTGTAAGCCTTTTGTTTAAGGGGAAACAAGATTCTCGGTACTTGTTTCCATTCATGTTTCACGTGCACCAATGAGTGCTTCATGCAAACGACCGACTGATGTCCGTTAATAATTAATACGAGGGACCCCTAGAAGGGACCCCTAATCCTAATACCCTATATAACCCTTATTTACCCCTTATATAGTCTCATTAAGCCCCTATATAACCCAAGGGCCACTTTAAGGGTCCGGCCTTTAGTCCCTGATTTTTGGGGCATTCCTGGCACCCTAAGGGCCCGTACTACTGTTGATCTTATAAATCCTGCATGTCCTCGAGGACCCTAAACTATGGGCCTAAACTATGGGAATTATGGTATGTTCCTTGTTGTGGGTCATGCAGGATTTGTATCATCAACCTGTAGGGGCCCATGGTTTCAATCTTCGAAAGCTTCTAGATCCTAACCCAAATCCTCGAAAGCCCTAAACCCTAAACCCTAAATCCAAAACCCAACACCCTAAACCCTAAACCCTTAACCCAAAGCCACGAAAGCCAGAACACCGGACCCGCTCAGGGTTCGGGCCTTCAGACGTCTAGGGTTTAAGGATTTGGGGGTTTAGGGATTTGGGATTTGGGGGTTTAGGGGTTTTGGGTTTAGGGGTTGAGGGTTTAGGGCTTCAGGGTTTTTGGCTTTTGGGGTTTAGGGTTGTTCTCAGGTGTAGAGTAACCCCAGACATAACCCTTCTTGACCCTGAACCCACAGAGCCCAGTACTGCCTAACTAAGGAAGATTGCTTAAATCATCGTATGTACCCCCTTTTATCTTACGGTCTACTCCGGGGTATTGGCTTTCTTCCCCGATAAGCCAGGGAAATCAAAGGTTAAACTTTCAGGTTATTACTAAACTATAAGAACCCAACAAGTTTAAAGCTTGGGTTTGGAGGAACTAAGTTGGGCTCTATGAGAATCTAAAAGTTTCAGATTACTAAATCATAAGAACCCAGAAAGTTTAAAGGAACTAAGTTGGGCTCTATGGGAATCTACCACTACGTAAAGCCGTCTGAAACTCACGCTGTGCCTCCTTCTTGGCAGCCCGGAGGATGCTGGACACGGCCTGATCAGTCATGTGCTGCGGGCTCCTCTAAGGGTTCCTCTACTTAGGGTTTAGGGTTTAAGATTTAGGGTTTAGGGCTTAGGGTTTAGGGTTTAGGGTTTAGGGTTCCTATGAGGGCTACTACACTGGGATGCAGCTCGGAGAGGACGTCGTAGGGATCCTTGCAGCCTCTGTGCTTTGTTAGAACGCAAACCAGAGGGTCTACGGTATCGGTAAGGGTTCGGCTCGGTACCGTTTGTCCAGTTCTCAAACGGTTCTCCCTCAAGCCCTGAACCCCAAACCCTAGACCCTAAATGTTGCACGGGGGTCAGGCTTTAGGGTTTAGTTTAGGGTTTAGGGTTTAGGGTGGGGAGGGGGGTACGGGGCCTTAATTCTCAGAAGGACCGGGTCCACAAGTGACGCTTTCCCCCCACCCGTAAGCCCCAAACCCCAAACCCTATGATGAAGTCTAAAACAACCCAGGCCCCCAAAACCGCAAAATCCGACTTGGTCGTGATGGCCGTCATTGCCTATCTCCCCACTCCGTTCCACCCCGCGCATGGAGCGTGGCCACGTCCTGCGTGAAGAGGCGCCCACAAGCTCCTTGCAGAAGATCCCCACAGACTCCAAAACCCTTTAATTAAAGGAATATACCTTAAATCATATTAGCGATCCTACTATGATTTTAAGGTATATTCCCTAATTAAGGGATATTGGAGTCTCTGGGTCATGTACTCCGGCTTCGCCACCCTGGCCATGAAAAAGGCGTGACCTATCGCCTGAAGCAGCAAGGGATGCTCGGGCTGTCCGCCAATGCTGCCCTGGAAGATGTGGTCATTTTTGATGGTTTAGGGTTTAGGGTTTAGGGTTTAGGGGTTTAGGGGTTTAGGGTTTAGGGTTTAGGGGTTTAGGGTCACATGCGAATGTACTCCCTAGACAGGGTCTGGCTGCCTCTCTGTCTGCCTACTGAAGGCACAGCACGGCCCAAGTGAATGGTGGGCCGGCTTGCCGGCAACGGTTCAAGAAAGCTTCCCAAACCCTAAACCCTAAACCCTAGACCCTAAACCCTAAACCCTAAACCCTAAACCCTAACTGGCTTGGTCGGACAGAGTCCCCAGCCTCTTGGAGGTGGCTTGCTGGTCCCATTACGGTTTAGGGTTTAGGGTTTAGGGTTGTTTTGTTTTAAGTGTGTTGACATGCAGGGTTTAGGATTTAGGGTTTAGGGGTTTAGGGTTCAGGGTTTAGGGTTTGGGAGTGCGAACTTAATGTCCAAGTACAGGCCGCCATGATTGTAGTGCTAACCCTGCATTTGTCTGAACTCGAAATAACCCTGAACCCTAAACTCCTCACTAATGGAACCTTAATAAAACCCTTGGAGGGAGACCTTATCCTAAGCGTGGTATTGGGTAGCTTTTGTAAGGAGCCTAGGACCACAACAACGAAAAAAACACCCACTGGGAGACTAAGAACAAAAACGCCTTATAAACCCCCCTAGCCCATGACTTACCGGCCCACCCCCTAAACCCTAAACCAAAAACCCTAAATCCGAAGACCTAAACTTAAACCCTAAAACCATAAAACCTTAAACCCGCAACCCTAAATCCGAAAGCCCAAGGCCCTAAACCCAAAACCCGAAACCCGAAACCCCTAAACCCGAAACCCTAAATCCGACACCCCTAAGCCCTAAACCCAAAACCCGAATCCCGAAACCCCAAAGCCCTAAACCCGAAACCCAAAGCCCTAAACCCAAAACCCGAAACCCCTAAACCCAAAACCCTAAGCCCTAAACCCCAAAACCTAAACCCCTAAACCCAAAACCCTAAGCCCTAAACCCCAAAACCTAAACCCGAAACCCCTAAACCCAAAGCCCTAAACCGTAAACCTCCGAACCCATAAACCCGAAACTCTAAAACCCCTTAAGCCCTAAACCCAAAACCCTAAACTTAGGCCCTAAACCCGAAACCCCTAAACCCTAAACCCAAAACCCTAAACCCAAAGCCTTAAACCCCAAACCCTAAATCCGAAACCCCTAAACCCAAAACCCGAAACCCCTAAACCCTAAGCCCTAAACCCAAAGCCCAAAACCCGAAACCCCTAAACCCTAAGCCCTAAACCCAAAACCCGAATCCCCGCCACCTGGGCCGCCGCCTCCTGCGGAGGAAGGTGCAGCGCCTCCTCAGTGAGTTTTCTTTTTGGTGCTTGCAAGGCCTCAGAGGCCTTAATGCGTTCCTTAAACGGCTCTATAAGGTTTCCTTGAAGGGATCTATAAGGCTGGTAGGGTTTACGGTTTAGGGTTTAGGGTTTAGGGTTTAGGGTTTAAGGTTTAGGGTTTAGGGGTGTTGGAAGGTCTCAAGCATAATCCCTAGGCTGTTTGTTGTTTAGTTGGGTTTTGTCTTGGGCGCAATAGGCCTGAAATCCCCAGATCCTCCAACATCCCTAAATCCAGGAATAGACAGAAACATATAGATCCCTGGTTTGATTTAAGGTATATCCCTTTTGACCCCAAACCCTAAACCCCTAAAGCTAAACCCTGAACCCTAAACCCCAAATCCCGAAACCCTAAACCCTTACCCTAAACCCCTCAAATAAGGGATTTTGGAGGATCTAGGAACCCGTCGAAGTGCCGCCGGCGCACCGAGATTTGCGTGGGATCGCCAACCAGACCTGCGGAGAGGCTGCTGGGGTTTATGGTGTAGGGTTTAGGGTGTAGGGTTTAGGGCTTTAGGGCTTTCGGGGTTTAGGGCTTAGAGGGTTTAGGGGTTTAGGGTTCAGGGTGGTTGGTTTACCTTCAACTAGCATAACCTACTGTTGTGTAGTTCTTGTTACAAACCCGGACGGACCCTTATGTATAATTTATAGGGAGCCTACAAAGCTTTTGGCAGGTTAGTTCAGGTGCGTGGCGCTTCTTTGTATAGTGCTTCCCTTCTTTAGTGTGTAGGACGAGGGTTTTGGGGTTCGCTGTTGTGGGGGTTAGGACTTTGGACGCTTAGGGTGCTAGAAGTGTGGACCCTAAACCCTACCCTAAACCCTGAACCGTGTGGGCTTTGAAACACTCTGGGCTTTGGGGGTCTACCTTAACCGACCCCAAATAAGGTTTAGGGTTGAGGGTTTAGCGCCCACCTTTTTAGGACTGATATAAGGAAATCATACTAAGGAACCCTAAAAAGGCAGGTGTCTGAGGGTCGAGGTAGGTGTAGTAGTCATATAAGGACTATACGGACACCTTTTTTGACAATGATTCCTACACTCTTGATTACAGACATCATGTAGATTTATGTAGAGCCTTCTATATCACTGAGAACTTCTCAGACATCTGCATTAAATCCTGCATCATCCTACGATCAACAACCCCTACAAGACCCTGCCAATATAGGGGCAAGAATAGCCAGAGCAGGGTTCTCGGGCTACACTCTGGCAGTGTGGTAAAGTAAGGAACCCGAGGGCATAGTATTCGCAATGATATGGTTTAGAGTTACTGGACTTTGAGGTAACCAGGGAGAAAAAAGTATAGACTTCTATTTCACAATGGTTCCTTTAAGGAACAGGTCCCCCAAAAAAGTATTAAAGTATGGTACTCCAAAGCCCAGGTTCAGGGTTTAGGATTTAGCGTATCTAGGGTTTCTTTTGAACTCAGGCTTGGCATGGGTTTCCCAAAACCAAAACCCTAAACCCTAAACCCTAAACCCTGAACCTTGCATGGGATCCTTTAGCGCTGTTTAGGGGTTCCCTTATAGTAGGGTTTAGGGTTTAGGGTTCCTTTAGAGTCTTACTTCCCCAACAAGTGAGGGAAACAAAAGGTTAAACTTTCAGACTACTACTCAAGCATAAGAACCCAAAAGGTTTAACGGTTAGGTATGGGGGAACTAAGTTGTAGTCGCATAATCACTTTGAAGCTCTCAAGCATGAACTGGACAACCAGACCTGCCAGCGTGGCGAGCGGCGAGGGCGCGGCAGTCTTCGCCGCCTCATCGCGAGACGGGTCCCTTGAAACTTGCTCGAGATTATGAAAACTAGGCAGAAGCTTGCAAAATCTAAACCCCTAAACCCTAAACCCTAGACCCTAAACCCTAAACCCTAAACCCTAAACCCTAAACCCTAAACCCTAAACCCCCCCAAACCCCGAGCCCAAAACAAATTAGGGAAGTTCGGGGGCTAGGCGCTAAGCCAAACCCCTGTGGGTCTCGGGTGCTTTTGGGGTTTGCAGGCCGCCTCCGGGCTCTTAGGGGTTTAGGGTTTAGGGTTTAGGGTTTAGGAGTAGAAATCTCACTAACTTAAAGTAGGGGTCTTAATAATTAGAATAGGGTGTTGGGGCCCATTATACTATAATTATAATAAGGAACCCCAAAATAGCCTTGGTAATGATTAAGGCCCCTACATTACTTCCCCAATAAGAAAAGGAAGTGATAGGTTAAGCTTTCAGAGTACTACTAAACTATAAGAGCCAAAGAAATTTAAAGGTTGGGCATTCGGGAACTGAGTTGATATTCGTAGATCCTGTAAGCCCTAGATCCTAAACCCTAGACCCTGAACCCTGAACCCAAAGCCCTGAACCCTAAACCCCAAAGAACTAAATCGTGAACCTTAAAGGTTAGCAAGGCTTCTTCCCGACGGTTGGCTATTCCCAACACGGTTTAAGGGGTTTACGGTTTAGGGTTTAGGATGTTTCTGATCCATTTGATCTGCGATCGGGAGACTTTCAAAGCATGCGAAGCTCAGGGATTGTAGGGTTTAGGGCTTAACGTACGCCGACAGGGCCAGAGAAAGGATGTTGAGAAGGACCCCAAAATGCCTCGCCTAAGCCCTAAAACCCGACACTTTATCTAAACCCTAAATCCCAAACCCTAAACCTTACTTTGTTTTGGGTTTCGGGTTTAGGGTTTAAGGAGTTCAGGGCTTAGGGGTTCAGGGTTGTGGGTTTTGTTTGGGGTTTAGGGTTTCGGGCTTAGGGTGTTTAGGCTTTAGGGGTTTAGGGTTGTGGACGTTTTGGGGGTTTAGGGTTCAGGGGGTTTAGGGTTTAGGGGTTTAGGGTTGTGGGTGTAGGGTTAAGGCTTTAGCCTACAGAGTTCGAACGAGCGCTTTGGGACATGTGTGCTGTATGCATGTGTATACACGGTAGAAACAACCATGCCGGACATATGAGCATGTGTATGTAAATCTATCTATGCATGGATGTAGGTGTGCAACGGATGGATGAATGGATGGATGGATGGCTGGGAGGGGAGGGGTGGATGAACGGACGGAGGTGTGTGTGTATATATATATATATATGTATGTATGTCTGTATGTATGTATGTATGTATGTATGTATGTATGTATATATATATATATATGCATGCCAGCAGGTAAGTATTAAGGAACCGGACGGAGCAGTAAGACGAGTCATTCAGACCCCTACACTGAGCCCTAAACCGCAAACAAAATGCTTGTGAGGTTCTCTCACTTTCGGACCCGACGTTGGGTGGTTAACAGGTTTTACTTACTTCCCAAATAGGCCATGGAAATAAAACGTTAAACTTTCAGATTGCTACTAAATTTTAAGAACCCAAAAAGTTTGAAAGGTTGGGTATTGGGGAACTAAGTTTATGTCGTATCGCAACTCAGACGAACTTAAACCATAAACCCAAACCCCTAAGACCCTACTCCTTCTCCTAAGCAACGAAGCAACCCTAAACCCTAGACCCTGAACCCTAACCCTAAACCCAAAATCCTTAACCCTAGACCCTAGACCATGAACCCTAAACCCTGAATCCTTAACCCTGAACCCTAAACCCTAAATGCTTAACCCCAAACCCCTTAACCCCTCAACGCCTAAAGCCTAGACCCCTAAACCCCAAGCTTGTGGGCCTCCTTCTCCCACTTCAGCTCCGACTGCAGCCAGCTCTGGGCGTAGAGGCTGGCCTGAGCGTCAGGCAAGGGTTTAAGGGGGGTTTAGGGCTTAGGGTGGCCTTTAGGGTTTGGGGTTTAGGGTTTAGGGTCTAGGGTGGCCTTTAGGGTTTAGGGTTTAGGGGTGGCCTTTAGGGTTTAGGGTCTTAGTGTCTTAGGGTTCAGGGTTTAGGGTCTTAGGGCTTAGGGGGTTTAGGGTTTACGGCGGCCTTTAGGGTTTAGGGTCTTAGGGTTCGGGGTTTAGGGGCGGAGCACTTTTTTTTTCCCTAAC